TATCTAGTCTCCTCAACTGAGATTCATGTTCTGATGAATGTGCTTCTTAACTTCTCTCTGATGCACTTCATTAAAATATTTACACCTAGCATAGCTGTTTTTTTTTTAAAAAAATCTTTCGTTCTGCTCTAGGACCGCATCTTTTCTCCTATCCACGTGCCCTACAAAACATTCGTTGCCTTATTTTGTAGAAAGTGAGTCAGTTTAAACAGTCTAATCGTGGAAGAGAAAATGTGTTTCTAGAATTTGAATGTTGGAGAGAAGAGCAAGAATGAGGTAAACAGCTATTTGATGTCTGTCTTTTCACAGTAGCACAATAGCTAATTCCTAGGGCCTCTGACCTTTTAGTGTCCTGTAACAGAGTACTTGCATTAATCTGTTGCTTATCTGTCACCTACCACATTTGATATTTCCAGCCTCTGCTTTCAATTATCAGTCATTTGAGGCAGCACTGAGTAATTTCAGGAGAAAACGCCTGGAACCTTTGACCTGTTTTTGTCAGATAACCACAAGTGTTCACTGTAGATAAACTATCATTTCATTATATTCAAGATGTAAACGAGTGTCGTTTGTAGTGTATCAGCTTACTGTAACCTTTATCACCTTGAAGTGATTAAAACTGACTAGTTTACTTAGTGCTTATACAAAGAATTCAGAGTCAAACAGTGAAAATCGGTGAGATTAGTGTAAATGGCCCCTTATAGTTACACGGTCTGTAACTTTTCGTTTTGCCTTGGCATGTATATTTAGTAGTTAAACAGTGACATTAAGTCGATTAGTGAGGCTTCACTATTTGTGAATCCAGTTGGGATCCTGGGATCTCACATTGTAAAATCAGCTTATTACAACATATCTTTGGTTTGTTCCCCGGTTTGCCAAAGCAGCTTTCACTTTCCCTGTCACCACATAGCAACCTCCTCAGGAAAAGCAAAGCACATGTCAGTGGGGAGCTAATCACTAATGAAAGAGCACGTCTAATAGTCCCTCATGCACTATGACCTAAACTCATTGCTAGCACTTTTTACACTTTTTAAGCTCAGCCAACAGTTAATCAGACGTTTATAGCTGAATTGGTAAAATACCAATTACTTATTATACTATCCGTCCATATATGTACTTTGTATTTTTTTTTCCAGAAGACAAATACTTTTGTTAAGGAAAAATAGTGCATGATATTTTCTCTTGGTGTAAAAGATGACCCCTTTTCCAAAATATCTTTTTGGTGTAAACTTGTCTTCATTCTTCTTAGAGTTGGGCTTAGTGTTAATACAGTATGAATATTTCATCAGTTTGCCACATGGGTGGAAAATATCATTCTTTCCCATCTCACACACAGGTGTTTGTGATATTCCCTTGAGCCATGATTTGTCTGATGTAACCATAGTGCTGAATATATTAGTTTCAGGTGGTATAAAAATAATATTTTAAAAAGTTGATGCTAAGAATCCTGATCAATGAGAGCAAATGAAGAATTTTGTTGTAATCAGCATCAACCGTAATACTCCAGTTATTTTTACTTAGAAAAAATTATATTTCTCCAATGATTAAAAAAGGACTTCCTGATTTTCTGGTCAACCGGTATTTAGATGCAGTGATCGGTCCCACAGAGATGCATTTTGGCAGATGAACTGAGCAGAGCTGGAATGACATGAGAACACTCTGGAAGAACTGAATGCTTAAAAATCTTAACCTGTATTTTTCGGGCTGCCAGTGTTGAAAAGCTCTCGCATCTGAAATAAAAATATTTGAGAGACTGTCCCCCACC